ATCTCGAAAACGGAAAGACATACAAAAAAATTGTTAATGGGCGAGGTTGATGGTTTCTTATGTACAATAACATGGTGTTAAAAAATTTAAAAAAATACAATTTGTTTATAACAAAAAAAAATTTATTAACTTAATTTTTCATTTTATTGAAATTTTCATAATGACAAAAAATGACGAGCATTTTATTCCAAATCCATTGGTATGCGATTTTTTAAAATTGCCTCCTACAGTTTTGCAGATTTTGATGATTTACATCTTGCGCGCACATCCATTATGGTAGTAGCCGTTATAACGTTGATTTTAATGAAGCATTGTAGGCCCAGGCAAATTAACTACGGACCATTTCAAGACCTGGTTAAGAGAGATTTACTTCGCAAATACTGGGGCCGCAACAGTTCTAATTCTTGATTCCTGGAGTGGTCACTGTAAGAAGACGGTGAACGAAGTTACTCCCGAGGGTAAAAATGTAAAACTTTTTATAATACCAAAAGGTGGAACAAAGTATGTTCAACCACTGGATGTTTACGGTTTCCGCACTTGGAAAAATTTCGTCCGCCGATTTTCCGATATAGTTCTCGTTTTAAATCACGACATTAATCTCCACGCTAGGAATAATATAATTAAACTTCAATCTCTGGTCCACAATCAATTTTCATCGCCAAGGTTCCAAAATTTTATTAAATACTCCTGGTATAAATCCGGATATATAGATGAAAAGCCAAATGCATTCCAGAATCCTGTTGAGTGCTGCTATTCTGTTGAAAATGAGCCAACATGTCATATTTGCGGTGACGTGGCAATAATTAAATGCGCATGGTGTAAGAAATCTTTATGTTTCAAACATTTTTTCGACGAGTACCACTATTGTCGGAACTATATAGAATAATTGTTATACACACTGCATATATTTATAATTTATAAATCGCTCCACCTTTGCCACGATGTCATAGGTGGGCAATAAAAATAATTAATCCTTTCGTTGCTGTTAAGAAACTTGTTACTGTTATTATTACTCGCTACTTATAACTGTATAATTTAGTGCAAGCCTACAGTGCTTCATTAAAATCAAAGTTATAACGGCTACTACCATAATGGATGTGCGCGCAAGATGTAAATCATCAAAATCTGCAAAACTGTAGGAGGCAATTTTAAAAAATCGCATACCAATGGATTTGGAATAAAATGCTCGTCATTTTTTGTCATTATGAAAATTTCAATAAAATGAAAAATTAAGTTAATAAATTTTTTTTTGTTATAAACAAATTGTATTTTTTTAAATTTTTTAACACCATGTTATTGTACATAAGAAACCATCAACCTCGCCCATTAACAATTTTTTTGTATGTCTTTCCGTTTTCGAGATAGCCGTTTCGAGCCAAAACTTCAAGGGGTGGTTTCACCCCTTAAACTCGAGTTACCGCAGCTAAAAAAAAATACGTGTCGATTATTTTTGGCTGCTTTATAAGTGTACAAAGTTTCATCAAAATCGAAGCGATGGTTCCTTGTGATTATTGGAAGCTATTCGCAAAACAGTTCGTTTATCCCGTTGTGACAACGATGATGGTCTTCCACTACTCTTCTTTTTACCATAATTTTCCACGTCTTTAATTAAATTATGGATTACCTTTCGACTTCTACTAGTTATTTTCAAAATTTTAGATACTGATATGTCTTTTCAGTTCAAGAATATGCTTTATTTCTGATGTTAATTTTTTTCCCCGTCCTATTCTTGTAAACTACTAGGCAATACTTTCGCATCCTTAATACCTAAGAGATCGCGAAATACTGAGCAGTTTCTAAACATGTAGACGGAGTGTGCTATCATTTCATTCCTAGTATACAACACTGTTTCTGTTATGTAAACAAAACGCCGTGATGCCGCGACCTCTTTGCAGCGATCCGCATGTTCTGAGCTCGTAAGCTTACTATATTATGCGTTACAAACCCAAAATTGTACGTGTGCCAGTGAAAAATTAAAGATAGCACACATGTGCTATCTTTATGGCTAATTTTTTGTCTCGAAAGTGCGTAGGATTTCGGGGGTATGTTTATTGACCAAAAATTATTATAATTGACACCCCCAGCTAAAACTAATTTTTTTAGAATGATTTGAAATTTGTTAATTTTGTCGAAAACATTTGTCCACCTACTCGAATTTTTTTCTCGAAACTGAGTAGGATTTCGAGGATATGTCTGTTGACCAAAAATGCCTGTAATTGACCCCTGCAACTATAAATAATTTTTCCAGAACGATTTGAAATTTTTCAATTTCGTCCGAAAAATTTTCGCACCTATCCCCCGTCGATTTTTCTTAAAAATTCGTTTTTAATTTTTAGTAATTTTGCTTGACGGCCTACAGAAAGATTCTCTAATAGTTTTTTGCAGGTACTCATAAGCTCTACTTCAGAAAAAAGTTTCATTGAAATATATTCAGTATTGTAGGAGTTATGGATGTTTGAAAATTGGACCATTTTTATGGAGTTTTTCTAACTTTACAGGGTCAAGGAACAACTTTTTCTATAAATATTGTTAGAATTCCTACATATTCTTCACCAAAATACGCGTTCTTTGCCGTTTGAAATATTAAAATCCTTCAATCCGTTCAAATGTTATGATTTTTTGAACATACGCATGTAATTTCGGGGAAATATTTCTGGCCAATCATATTTTCGGTAAGAAATTTTTTTCTTGAAAATGCGTAGGTTTTGGGGGGTATGTCTATTCACCAAAAATGATTGTAATGGGCCCCTGCAACCAAAAATAATTTTTCAGAATGATTTGAAATTTTATAACTTAATTTTTTAATAACTTTTTAACGAAGCCTCAATTAAGAAATTAATATTTTTGATTTTCATCTTATTTTGGCCTCATTAAAATTTTTCCCAGAGGTGGTCGAACACCCTGTATATGTAGAGTTGGAAAAAATGAAGAAAGAGGGGGAGGGACGAGTCAGAGAGAGCTTCCAAAAATGAGTCAGTGGTCAAGGTTCGGATGTGAGTCAGGATAAATGATGAAAATCACTAAGGAAAGGAATTTGGGATGTTTTGTAGTTTTGTATAAAGAGGATATGCGCGTAAAAATAATAAAACATACTGCCATAGAACAATATTCTCATTACGAAAGGAAATAATGCAGATTTAGATATGTAAAAAAGTAGAAAGGATAGCGAATCTCGATGCGTGTCAGTTGTAATAAAACAATTATCGTGTCGACTAATTCTCGTTTAAATCAATGTCTAGCGTTAGGTGAATGGTTCTAGTTGCATCGACAACCTCGTACGGGCGCGTGACGTTAATTTTGGCTGTTTGGCGAGATTTGACGTGATATGACATGACGTTATATCTACTCATCATTATTCAAAGCTATCCGAAGTTTCTTCCCTCCGATTTCGGGCGCGTTTTCGAGCTTCCGTCTTTTGCGAACAAATTGTGCTACTAACGTCGTTAGCTAACGAGAAGCGGTCCTTTAAAACGGTCGATGTTCTTCAGCTCGTACTTTCTCAAGTTCTTTGAGAGCAGCGCAATCCTTTGCAGCAGGTAAAATATTTTTGATGTAATTCCATCGTTAATAAGAACGCGCGTGTCCCGTAAATAAGGTGTCAGCAACGAAATTCGCTAAAAATGAATCACGCGAAAACGGTACACTGTGTATTAAAATTCGATTACACAAAGCGTGTACGTGTAAGAGTGATACAAAGAAGGAAATTATTTTTTCCAATTACGAACACACGACGAACGCGAAGGGACTGAACATACAACAGCGAGCTTATTATGTAACTTCAAAGAAAAGTAAACTGGTCAGATATTATCCATTTCTTTGAACCTTTAATGCTTCTAATTAGCGAAACATTAAAAAATTTGCTAGCAAAAGATTGCACAAAGCTTAAGCATCTTCTGAAAATAAATTCAAGCACGACACGTCGTGTCACAGTTTCGAAGCGTTTGTTCGTTTAATCAGTTTAAATTACAAAGGCCATTGTTAATTAGTTTAAACTGCAAGGGAAAGAATATGAAAGTTTTGAATTATTTTACAAAAATATAACTTCTTTCTCTCCATTGATCGTTAGAAAAGATAAGTATAATATAATAAACTTACAATTTTATATTTTTAAAATATAATTTAAAAAAATCGTTTAAATTTTCGTTTGATCGATTGTAACAGGACACTCTGTGCGTACAACGTTTAAACAATTTTCAGCCGACGAAAAGTCGACGGGAATTGCAGCCAAAATGGCCGAGCAAAGTCCTTTTTGGGCGTTGAACTTCGCGAAACGCTAATGCGCCATGGCGAAAGTCTGCCTTTGATTCGAAACAATGAGCAAAGTAGAGCGGTGCATTTATTAAGTTGAATCAATTGGCTGCTCTATGGAGTGGTTCGAAAAGGCAGAGCTAAGCGACTCCCGGAGTTCAACAACAAAATTCAAGTGGGACCGTTCTCGATTCGATATTAGCGAGTAGCTTGCTAAGCCATGTAATTAATAAAAGTTACGATAATGAGAGCTTTCTGCTAACCGATGAGTAGAAAAGTTTCGTGGTTATGTACAAAACGTCCGTGCAATTACGGCTTCTGAATAAAACATTTTATATATATATAAAAAAAAAAAAGAACAATTCCGATCGTTCGCGCGGGACATTTCTCGTCTCGATGACTAGTAATCGAATATTCGACGCGATGACTAATAGAATAAACATAAAATTCAATGTTCCAGTAGAGCGTTTATCACTTCGTTGATTAAATACTGAAATATAATTTTTACGCGCACTCGGCACCGTAACTTTTATCGAGTTTGAAAATTTGTCGAGCTCGTTAATTCGCTACGGTGGTTATAAAATATTAATTTTAATGTTATTTAAAAGAGCAAAACTGCAGAGGTGTGCAATCAGTGGTGTCTAAATTTTCTCTCGCGATGATAGAGGAGAAAATTTCTGCGTTCGCGATACATGGTTGGGAACAGAAAAAATATACTTAAATAGTTGAAGATCTCATAGAATTGTACTTACTATAAACTTTGATTTTTCCTTCAGTTTCGCCCAGTGAATTAGTGGCCACGCACCGAAACGATCCGAAGTCGTGAGGTCGTACAGAATATATAGTGAGCCTCATGGTTATTTCGTACCCGTTTAAAATCGTCTCGACTTTATAGTTGCTGTCTGTAAAAAGAGAGAGAAATATGTTGGTTTAGGAAACAGTTTCACAAGTTTCTATTTAAAAGTTTTCGCAGCAATTTCATTTCCAAGAAAAAAGATTTTCTGCGTTAATGTATAATTGTCGGATGCCACGACGCGAGTTAAACTTTGCCAATTAAGTACTGCTTGCCTCAAAATTAAAATTTCCTTTTAATTTTTCATTGAATTCTCCCTGCTTTTCACACATAATTGGTCCAATTACCGGTATTCATTCGTTTCTACGCCGCGCAGCACCACTGAAATACAGCTATGTCCAAATTTGTCTTTAGCGTTTATTTCAATTTTCGAGGTATCTACCGATCGCATTTTAATAGCAAATTTCTTAACAATTTCAAAAATATACTAGACTATCAAATCGATAGATAAACTTTCATAAGGATCGTACGAAGTAGCATAGACTCGGTTCTCATTTGTACAGTTAAGAGCAAAACTGAACACATACGAAATTTTTGCGTAAATAATATTTTATTCATTGTTTGCATGTAGAATACAAAAGAAACGAAATATACAGTATTAAGTACAATGTTTTAACTTTCCAAAAAATTTTCAACGATCGTAATATCCTTATTATTTTAACACCTACAAATTTTGTTCGTGTAGTCGGTTTTGTACCGCGTCAGAGCTGTTATTGCTACGAATTGTAAATACAATTTTTGTAAACAACGCCTGGCAGTGTCTATCACCGGAAGTACTCTAGTAGTTAGTTCATTGCTGTTTGTGGAGTGAAGTCATTAAATCATTATCTAACATTGTGAAGAGTAATATTATTTTCCAGTTAAAATCTGGCTTATCGACATGAAAAGTTGCTAGAAAGTTTGCTGTTCCTACAACTTTTGGAGATCGTCCAAAATTACTATCTTGTCAGGACAAGCGACGATTAACAAAGCATATTACATCAGAAGTCGCGATGACGGCATCAATGGCTGCAAAGCTGTTGGAGAGCAATGTTGGAAAGAAAATAAGCAAATGGATTGCTCGAAGAGCACTAAAAGAAGCTAATTTTGTATCAATAGAGGGGGAAAAACCCTGCACTTTCAAAGAAGAATATAAAAACCCGTTTGAGTTTTGCAAAAATATATACAGGGTGTTCGGCCACCACTGGGAAAAATTTTAATGGGGGATTCTAGAGGCCAAAATAAAACGAAAATCAGGAATACCAATTTGTAGATGGAGGCTTCGTTAAAAAGTTATTAACAATTAAATTCAAAAATTTCAAATCGTTCTGGAAAAATTATTTTCGGTTGCAGGGGTCATTTTTTATGAATAGACATACCCCCGAAATCTTGTGCATTTTCGGGGGAAAAATTTAGTACGGGCGGAACTTTAAACGTTAATAACTTTTTAACGAAGCCTCCATCAACAAATTGGTATTCGTGATTTTCGTCTTAGTTTGGCCTCTAGAATTCCCCATTAAAATTTTTCCCAGGGGTGGCCGAACACCCTGTATAAGGTGGAACATTGAACAATGGAAGAACGTAATCTTTTCAGATGAGTGTAAAATTAATCGAATTTTGTTGGATGGTCGTTCCTGTTTTTGGAAAAGAGATGAATCACTTAAACCACGTCATGTTAAACAGACAGTTAAGTTTAGTTATGGTATGGGGTTGCACTACAACGTATGGTGTAGGTCCATTGTATCGAATTGATAGTATAGTGAATCAGTACACTTGCAAGAACATTTTAGATTAAAATCTGCTACACACAGTTGATAATTAGCCAGTACTAGAATGTGATGTCGTTTTCCAACATGACAATGCCATCACACATTCTGCGAGGAGTGTGAAAAATTGGCTCGATGTTCAATCATTTCAAATGATAGCATGACCTGCTCAAAGCCCAGACTTAAATCCTATTGAGAATGTCTGGGAATATTTAAAAATGAAACTAGCGAATGATTATTAATGTTCCGCCAGCGACAATAAACGATTTGTGGGAAAGAGTGCAGGAACAATGGTACTCAATTATTCCACAATACTGCGAAAATATAGTTTTTAGTATACCTAAACGCATTCAACACACCACTAAGGCCAAAGGTTTATGGACGAAGTATTTAATCTAGATAAAACTGAAATGTTTATCTGATATTAAGATCGTTGAAAATTTTTTGGACAGTTAAAACATTGTACTTAATATTGTATATTTTGTTTCTTTTGTATTGTACATGGAAACATTGAATAAAATATTATTTACGCAAAAATTCCGTATGTGTGTTCAGTTATACTCTTAACTGTAAATCCGTACAAATGGGTAACTGTAATTTTTTCATCCATGTCTCTTGTGAATTGGATATTTTTTAAAGGCTGTAATGCTCATTGGAAAATGTCTTCCGTAAATTGGCAATCCCCCGTTATCGTTTCTGTCGTCCTCGCAGATTCGTGGAATTGAAAAATGCAACGAACGAGAGCTTGATGAAGCTCATCGCGCAGCGAGTTACGCCTCTAATTCCGTTGGCATGTAATTGCACTTGCCAGTCGTTAAAAACTTCGGTTGTTTTATTGTCGCGCGAAACGACAGTGACACGCTAACGCCGGTTTTGAATAAGATGAAACTCGCCCGGCGATAAACTCGCTATTTATGCCCCAGGTCGCTTAAACGTTATGAAACTGTGTAAAGTGGGCGCATGTTGGCCACGTTATTCGCGCGAGTGTCATTTTCCCCTCGACGCGTCCATGTTCGCGATATTTTGGTGCTGTAACGCCCGGTAATGCGCTAGCGCGAGACATTTACTCATGACTTATCAGCACACGTCGCGCGTCCAACGTTCAAGCAATAATTCTTTTACGGTCGCGAACTTTCATATTTATCCGAGTACACGGGGTGTGCAAAAAACAATTCCCGAATCCCAAAGGCGACAGTTCCAGCGACAATTCGGAAACTGATCTCCGCATTACGCTGTGTTCTGTGCAGAGTGACACGTAGTCGCATCATTGAAGCAAAAATACTGTAGCATTTTATTCTAGATCTGCGAGAGAACTCTTCGATAAATCCTCTAGAAAACCTTAATTCGCTGCAGAATCCCTGGAAACACCAAGCCAGATCTAAATATGTTCCGCATTTTTCCGTACACACTTCAGCTGTGTATTCTAAAAGTAAAAGTAAGACTAAAGTGTTATACAGGGTGTTCGGCCATCTCTAGGAAAAATTTTAATAGGAGATCCTAGAGGCCAAAATAAGACGAAAATCAAGGATACTAATTTGTTGATTGCGGCTTCGTTAAAAAGTTATAGAAACATTTCTGGCCACACAGTATATTTTCGGTAAAGAATTTTTTTCTCGAAAGTACGTAGGAATTCGGGGGTGTGTGTATTCACCAAAAATGATTGTAATTGACCCCCGCAACCAAAAATAATTTTTCCAGAACAATTTTGATGGCAGCAGTCGAGGCGCGAGTGGAAAAATAATAACACAAATGTTCAAGGCACAGTAATATTATATATATTCTATAATTGTCTGTACATAGAGGAATTCAACGTGGTGTTCCGTTCTCTCTATAACAAGAGAACGTACTGAAAGTAGAGGGGGAGACCGGACACGGCTGTTAACTGCTACTCACGCGTCGCACGGCGGTAACAGATTTGAAATTTTTTTTTAGCCGAAAAATTTCAGCACCTTTCTCCTTGTTCTTAAAAATTCGTTTAACATTGTACGAAAATGTTGTCTAATACTTTTTTGTAGGTACCCATGAACACTACTTCAGAAAAAAATTTCAATAAAATATATTGTTAAAAAAAAGGGCGAGCTTATTTCTTAGGCACTGGATAGGTGTCCAGTAGGGTGGAACGAAAAAATGAAAATTGTGTGACTGTTTTCTAATAGTGAAAACAAGTTGCCTTTAGGCTTTCAGATTAAGCCTGTAAAAGTTAGTTTCTGTCAAAACAATTTTTGAGGTGCCGCAAGGGGTTGGATTTTTTTCTTTTTCATTTTTAAACATATTTTTTAAAATTTATATCTATAAACTGTTTTTATAGGTTTAAAGTAAAAAATGATCCTTCACATTTCCTTTTATAACGGAATTCGTGTAAGGAGATAGTTAAGATTTTTAGTTCTTACATTTTTAAAAATATTTCACCTTTTTTAATACTTTATAACATAATTTCATGGTATCATAAAGTGCCAGCGCAATTTGAAGTGACCTTGGGTGAAGTCATATATTATTGTCAGGAGCAAACCAATCGCATTAACATATTCGTTGCGGATTCGTAGGAAGGTACTTCAATATAGACAACACGTATTTTTTCAACCCAGTTACTGTAACATTGAATTTGCTGTTTAGATGTTATTCAGTTATTAAATTGAAAACGGCTATAAGCAATACCTGCGCTGAACCTTTGTTGTAAGTATCTACAGCAACACGTGCTGTTTCGCTACGTGCAGGACGGATTTTAACAAACGAAACATGAAACAAATGACGGTGTCAAAAGGCATCATCCGCAGCGAATGTGTTAAGAGTGTAGGCATTATAAGCAAGCATGCCAATTGGTGTGGTCGTGCACCCATAATAATATAAATTGTACGTTAGATAGGTGTGAATTATCTGTTGTGTATCGCGAGGTGTGTGCTATAGAAAAATAATAATTCACTATTTCCGAGATCTTGTTGGCGAGTGTAAAAGAAAATGGAAACGCTAAAAAAAGTACAAACTAGACAAGCAGTTGAGTGTCCTATATTTGGCTGTCCAAAGGACTTAAATGACAACGTTCTTCCCAGTTATGAAGATATTATGAAGTGTTACTTGTACATACGGCAGGAATTAAGAACACAATAAAGTTGAACGAATATGGGTAAGAGCTTCTATTCCCATTGTCTCTCAAACTAGAGTATCACAGATGATAAAGTCATATCATGAAAAATATAGAAATCTTTTAAAATCAAAGGGCAGAAAAGGAACTCAGAAGTATGACTCAAATTTAAACACCTTTAGAATAAATTCAAAGCAACTTTTTGATATAGCAGCCTGCAAATGT